GGAGGGGATGTGGGAATATATGTATGCATATAGCTGATTCACTTTGTTATACAGCAGAAACTAACACAACACTGTAAAGCAATTATACTCCAATAAAGATGTTTAAAAAAATTTCAATTAACATATATAAATGTGAATGACTTACATGGTGATCAAATATACTTGTAGAATCTGATAAATCGACAAAGTACATATATTGATGGGAAGTCATACTGGATGATGAGGTGATTAGGAAATTTTAATGAGATCTCCAGATACATATGACAAAAATGCATAACTATGAAATGTTAAAATGATGCGCTAAATAAACAAACAAAAAAAGATGGACCTACTATCCCCAGTTTTCTTTAACATTTAGTGGAAATTATAGACACTGAAGTGAGACTGTGACAAAAACTAAAAGAAAAAGAAAAAGAAGCAAAAGGTCTAACCATTTAAAAGCAAGAAAAAAACTGACAAGACAGTTATCTGCAGGGAAACAAATTAATGAAGTTTTCTAAAAGCTAATAAGATGAAAAATTGACAGACATATAAAAGAGAAAAAAAGTTTTAATTGCATTTATCTTTTGAAAGTTTGCCTGCTTATTTTTGAAATGAACTACTAGGTGTGAGATAACTGATTAATGAGTAAAATTCATTTGTCATTTTCTAGATATTGCCAAATTCCTCTCATATAAAGTTGTACGTTCACTCAAGTAACATTTTAATTTTAGTGCCTATTTCCCCACAGCTTCTTAGCTACAGTACATCAGCAAACTCTGGGATATTTGCCAGTTTGATAGGTCTCTCAGTGTGGTTTTAATTAGCTTTTTTTCTGTAATGCAAGGCTGAATATCTCCTTATGTGCTTTTGTGGATCTGCATTTGTTTTTTCACATTCAAATCTAAGACTCATCTGGAATTTAATCTGCTGTATCAATAAAGTGAAAGGGTAACACATAGAATGGAAGAAAATATTTGCAAGTCATGTATATCTGATAAGGGATTAATATCCAGAGAACATAAAGCACTCTTACAACTCCACAACAAAAGCCCAAACAACTCAACTTTAACATGTGCAAAGGGGGCTTCTGTGGTGGCGCGGTGGTTGAGAGTCCACCTGCCGATGCAGGGGACACGGTTTCGTGCCCCGGTCCGGGAAGATCCCATTTGCCACGGAGCGGCTGGGCCCGTGAGCCATGGCCGCTGAGCCTGCGCGTCCGGAGGCTGTGCTCCGCAACGGGAGAGGCCACAACAGTGAGAGGCCCGCGTACCGCAAAAAAAAAAAAAAAAGTGCAAAGGACCTGAGAATATTTTGGCAGTTCCTCAAAAAGTTAAACATTGAGTTACCATATGACTCAGCAATTTCATTCCTAGGTATATACTCAAGGGAATTGAAAACATGTACAATTGACCCTTCAACATGTGTTTGAATTGCACAGTTCCACTTATACGTCAGTTTTTTCCAATAGTAAATTACTACAGTAGTACACAGTCCATGGTTGGTTGAACCCATGGATGCTGAGGAACTGAGCGTAGGGATGGCTGACTATAAGTTATACTTGGATTAACCCCCACTTTGTTCAAGGGGCAACTGTAATCATACAGAAACTTGTTCATGAATGTTCACAGCATCATTATTTGTAATAGCCCAAGTGTGGAAATAATCCAAAGTCTGTCAATTGATGAATGGATAAACCATGATGGAATTTATTTAGCCATAAAAAGGAAGTAGTGATACATGCTACAGTATGTGAACCTCAAGACATTATGTGAAAGAGCCAGTCACAAAGACCACATATTGCATTATGCCATTTACATTGGCAGCCTATAGATACAGAAAGTAGATTACTGGTTGCCCAGGGCTGGGGAGAGAGGGTGAAAAAAGGGGAATGACTACTAATGGGTACAAGGTTTCTTTGGGGGAGGAAGAAAATGTTCTAAAATTAGATTATGGTGATGGTAGCACAACTCTGTACATACAATTAATAGCCATCTAACTGTATACCTTAAAAGGGTATACTTTATTATATATAAATTATAGCTCTAATAAAGCTATTTTTAAATATAAAGCTGTTTTTTAAAAAAATATGTATACTTTTCATTTTACCATTCTTTGAACTTTTCTGGAGGTTTGAAATATTCAAAAGGTAAAAGTTGGAAAACAAACCATAAAAGTATACTTTTATCCAAATATAGATCAAAAGATGTTTTTTAAGTAAGAGTACACATTCCTCATGAGGATGTAGTAAAATTGCTCTTATTTATGCTAATTGTATTCACTGTTTATGATTCCATTCTATCATACAGCTTTAAATACTATCCATACACCCATGCCTTTCATATTTTCTCTCCAGCCTGTACTCATTTGAAAAACCAGAAACATAAATCCAAACAACTCATTAACTTTTATATTTGATGTCTAACAATCACCTCAAACCTAGCATGTCCAAAACCAAACTCTTAATTTAACCTTATCTTTAAGTTAACTCAATTCTTCAACTAGTCAAGCCAGAAAACTTGAAGTCATTCTCAACTCTTTCTCTTACAACCAACAACCAAAGTATCAGCAAAATCAGCAAATTTCTGGCTCTACTATCCAACCATTTTTCATCACTTAAATTGTTAATGCATTGCTCACCTGGACGCTGATTCTTTGGCCTCCCTGCTTCCACCTTGCACCTCTAATATTTTCATTACCCAGCAGCTAGGGTACTCCTTTTAAAGTATGAGTCAGTAATTAAGACCTTTTATATATGTCACATTTTAGTCACAGTAAGAATATCACCATGATTCAAAAGCCATTACATAATCTGACCCATTCCAAAATCCACAGCTCTGATCACATTTCATATATTTTTTCCCTTCCCTCTCTGAGCCATACTGGCCACCTTGCTGTTCCTCAAACATAGTAATTCTGTTCCTGCTTCATGACGTTTGTACCTACTATGCCTTTTTTGCCTGAAATTCCCTCTTCCCAGATAACCACATGGATTGCACTATATAATACATGTTAGTTGAATGAAAGAATGCACCTGTCTGGTTCTCCTCCTTCACTCCAATCTCTCCCTGCCTACACATAACCTTTAACCTCAGTTCTCTATACAGAGGTGACTATAATCATCCCAATGCTCCAACCATTACACTTCTGTGGGCTACAATGGACTGAACTTTTGTGTCCCTCCAAAATATATATTTTGAAATTCTAACCCCTAAGGTGATAGTATTAGAAGGTGGGGCTTTCAGGAGGTGATCAGGTCATGAGGGCAGAGCCCTCATGAATGAGATTAGTGCCCTTATATAAAAGACCCCAGAGAGATTCCCCCTTCTTCCATGTGAGATTACAATGAGAATATGATAGAATATGAGGAAGTCTATCAGATACTGAACCTTCTGGTGCCTTGATCTTGAACTTCCCAGCCTCCAGAACTAAGAGAAATCAATTTTTGTTGTTTATAAGCCACCAAGTCTCTGGTATTTTGTTATAGCCGCCCAGATGGATTAAGACAGGGGCTTTCCACTCTTCCATCTTTAGCTCTTTCTTTTGGGTAACCTACTGAACTCCTCCTGTAGTTGATTCTACTTTTAAAAATGTATTTATGGACTTGTTCCTAGGTTCCCTAGTCTATAAATTTCTTTTTTTAATTTTAATTTTTTTATTTTTTGAGGATTTTCTTTTTTTATTGATGTATAGTTGCTGTACAATATTATATAAGTTACAGGTGTACAATATGATGATTTATAATTTTTAAAAAATTTTATTTACTCTTGGCTGCATTGGGTCTTCGTTGCTGCATGCAGGCTTTCTCTAATTGTGGCGAGTGGGGGCTCTTTCTTGTTGCGATACGTGGGTTTCTCATTGCAGTGGCTTCTCTTGTTGTGGAGCACAGGCTCTAGGCATGCGGGCTTCAGTAGTTGTGGCACACAGGCTCAGTAGTTGTGGCTCACGGGCTCTAGAGCGCAGGCTCAGTAGTTGTGGCACACGGGCTTTGTTACTCTGCAGCATGTGGGATCTTCCCAGACCAGGGCTCAAACCTGTGTCCCCTGCATTGGCAGGCGGATTCTTAACCACTGCACCACCAGGGAGGCCCCATAATTTTTAAAGGTTATACTCCATTTATATTTATTATAATATATTGGCTATATTCCCCATGCTGTACAATATATCCTTATAGCTTATTTTATACATACTAGTTTGTACCTCTTATTCCATATAAATTTCTTTATATATATATTTTATTTATTTATTTTGGGCTGTGTCGGGTCTTCGTTGCTGCTTGCGGGCTTTCTCTAGTTGCGGCGAGCGGGGGCTGCTCTTCATTGCAGTGCGTGGGCTTCTCATTGCAGTGGCTTCTCTTTGTTGTGGAGCGTGGGCTCTAGGCACATGGGCTTCAGTAGTTGTGGCATTCGGGCTCAGTAGTTGTGGTGCATGGGCTTAGTTGCTCCATGGCATGTGGGATCTTCCCAGACCAGGGCTTGAACCCGTGTCTCCTGCATTGGCAGGTGGATTCCTAACCACTGTGCCAACAGGGAAGTCCTATAAATTTCTTAATAGCTTAAAAATCTTATAATCTTTTCATCACCTAGTAAATATCTTGTACCAATTATAAAATCAGTAATGGTTGGAAGAATAAATGAACAAATGAGTAAAATAATGAACAGGAAAACTGGTTCAGAGAAGAAACATCTCAGAAATTTTAAGAAAGTGACACACAAATCTAAATGCACAAGAAAAGTAACTGTGTAAGAATGGTCTTCAAAGTAAAGGTAGAAATTTGTTACTGAAGAGGAACAAGGGTTGTACTTCCCACTTTGAAATGGGAAGGAAGCAAGAGAAGAGAAGTATGGACAGTGAGAGGTAGAGGTAGAGGTAAGGAAATTTGACAGTTTGGTGTAGAGGTCTTACTTTTCTCTACACATTTTGACTATTAATGGAAACTTCCCAGAAAACATCTCAGGGTTGTTTCCTCCATAAGCAGCTAGGTTACATCCTTCAATGCCCTCTCCTTGCCTGACCATCCCTCACTTCCCTGGAAGCAAGTCCCCTGCCACCTCTCTGCCAACCATCCAGGGCTCTTCCCCTTGCTCCAATAAGGATACCACATCTGGCTTAGGAAGGGAGAGTCCTGCTCCCAAGAGAAATGGTACACAGTTTTGCAATAGGAGGCTTAGAATTCAAAATCAAAGAAGAGAGGTCACTATTTAGAGAAGATGGAGCCTCAACCCCAACGGAGCTACACATTTTCAACTCTACAAAGCTCAAGCCTTTTCCTTGGGAACAGGGAAAAGAAATGTACAGGATATTTGAAAAGAGCAGAGAAATTCTCAATTGGAGAAGGAAATATTCCAGAGGGAAAACTGAATTTTTATATACAGGTATGCTTACCAACTGAGACCAGGTTGTTGTAGTTTTCCAAAATCACATTTCTGTACAAATCCCTCTGATCAGAATCCAGGCATTCCCACTCCTGAGAAAAGTCTACAGACACATCCTTGAACAACACCAATCCCTGAAACAATAGATCCATGTATGAAGTATATAATAAAAGCAAATGCTTTTAAGATGGGAGGAGAGAAGAAAAAGGTAAAATACAGGTGATAAAGAGAGTGTTTATAGGAAGTGACACATAGAACAAATAGGCTGGGTCTGGAGGCCTGGAAGTCAGTATGATTTAATTTATGTCCTCAAAAAATCCTATTTCCTGAAGATAGATCAAACTATCTGTTCACAGTAGGATATTTCCAGTATCCAACCATGTTTGGGACGTACAAAGTCTAGCTAAGTGGAGTTTCTCTATTATGTGAAATAGTAAAGTTATCATCTAGTCTAGTAATGCCTGGTATATAATCAATTGTCAGTAAATGGTAGTTCCCTCCACCTACTCTTTACTCATTTAGCCCTAAGGAGAAAAAGTGACCAACTCTACAAAATATCTAAGAATAAAATTTGAGAATAAAAGTGATAAAGAGAAGATACTTTAAAAAAGTTAAGACAGAAAAGACAGGTCATATATAAAGTATCAGGAATCAGAAATGCAATGGACTTCTAAACATCACTGTTGGAATCAAGAAAACATAAAGATATGTCTAGAGGAGAGTTTCTCAACCTTGGCAATGTCGACATTTGGGGCTGGATAATTCTTTGTTGCAGGGTTGGGGCTGTTCTATGCATTGTTTGTTGATATACAGCACCAACTCTGACCTCTACTAGATGCCAGTGTTACTCCCCTCTCCCAGATATGACAACCAAAAATATCTCTAGACATTGCCATATATCCACCCCTAGGGGGATGAGGTAGGGGCAAAATTGTCCCTGGTTGAGAACCAGTTTAGAGTCCAGACTAGCAAGGGCTCAAAATATTTACCTGCTATTTCTAGGCATCTTTGCTTAAAAGTAACTGGTTGTGCTTTATAAAAACTACAGAGTAAACCATGAAAGAGTTATATTAGGTATCCAGATATGGGTAAATAAGGGTCACAGGAGAAAGAGGACAGAAGGTTCCAATGTAACTGTGAAAGAAAAGTACCAGGGTGACAGCTGTGTAACAAGTCAGAGCAACATGCAATTGAGACAGGAGCAGTAAAACAAAGGAAACCAGAAGACGGTATTGAAGAAATAAATGACTGATGTTTATGACAATTTGGAAAATGTTACTGATAGTCATGTGACAGTGACGTTTGCACAGATTGTGGATTAGCAATACAAATGTGGAAAACTGAACAAAGAAGTTTATAAGATAATTAGTACAGGAAAAAATATAGTAGAAATAATAAGTCTGCTTAGTATACTATTTGGCTAGGCTATAATATTTACATATTAGTAACTATGTACACACTATAGAGTTAACTAAAAATCATAAACATTTTGGGGAAAGTGTGGGAAAAGGCTGTTTCCATTCTAACACACAGGGAAGCCAAGGGATGACTACTAAACTTGATTATTCCACAAAGCGTAAAACAAGAATAACTGGAAACACTACAGGGATAAATACCAAAGGCAGTTAGCCAAGTCTTTGGACAAGAACTAGGTGATATGGCAAGACCATGCTACTTTAATTAGAAGCATCATATTTCTATTTGAATCATTAATACTTAAATTTTGGTATGAGTTCAAAAATCCCTTTTTAAATAAACAGACTCTGCATATAAGTTAAGAATTTTTTCAAGATGCAGGTTCATTCTTATACCACGTGGTAACATAAAGGGATTTATTCTTTTTGTGAAAATTCTTTAATAAACACCATTTTTATTGGAAGCATTATTATCCAGCATATGGAATCAACTGACTTAATCTTTCTTCTCATTTTGATCTTTGGCATTAATAAGACCTTTAAGATCTGTCTGTCTGTATGGGCTCTAACAGTAATGTTCTCAATCAACTTATGTTCTGGGATGATTCAAACTGTAGCCTGGCATCACTAAACTGTAATAAACGTTCCTGGTTCCTGAGTTGCCAAAATCTCCTGGAGGATGAAGATTCACAAAAAGACTTAGGTCAAATGAAGATTGGACCATCAACACCACCCATTTTGCCTTACTAGGAAGCCCCAGTCTGTGGAGATGATCATGACCAGATGTGAGCTTCCACTCAAGTGCTCAGCTTGACCTCATCACATCACTGTCTGTGTAAAACAGGTCTATTTAGCAGAGAATGTCCACATTTTCCTCCCTGTGCACTTCTGCCCCACCAACATTCCTGACCCCAAAGGGGAAAAGGTAATGATTCACAGAAAAAATCGTGAATACGTGACAATCAGGGGCATCTAGGCAACAGAGCTGAATGGATGCAATGAAAGGAAATGGTTAGTAGGCCCTGGAAAAGATGCTCCTGCCCAGGGAAGGTCGGGATAAAGAAGGCAAATGCCCATGTGTTTCAGGAAGCAGGGAGGAAGCAGCACCTCACCTCGGTCATGGCTTTCAGTCTTTCAGGAAATGCGCACACCTCAGGGCTCCTCTTCTGAAAAAGGGCAGAGTCCTGGGAGACTGCAGGGATGGCGGGGCCACGCCAGCCTCCCAGTTCCCAGAAAAACCCCGTTCAAAAGGCAGTCCTGGGCTTCCCTGGTGGCGCAGTGGTTGAGAGTCCGCCTGCCGATGCAGGGGACGCGGGTTCGTGCCCCGGCCCGGGAAGATACCACATGCCACGGAGCGGCTGGGCCCGTCAGACATGGCTGCTGAGCCTGCGCGTCCGGAGCCTGTGCTCCCCAACGGGAGAGGCCACAACAGTAAGAGGCCCGCATACCAAAAAAAAAAAAAAAAAAAATAAGGCAGTCCTTTACCCTATTGTCCTACTGTCCACTCTCTCCACTTCACAGACATACTGACAGGAATGGGAGGGAGACTGGACACATCCTGCCCCTTCCCTAATCCGGAGGCTCCAGGCTCCAGCTGCAACAGAATAATCTCTGGACAGCTGGCCGTGTCTGGAGACACGGATGCAACGTCCTCTTCCCAGCGCCACCTTATTTCTGAGCAAACCAGTGTCTTCGCTGCATCTGGGGAACAGGACTCCGGCGAGACTAGACCTACAGCAGAAAGACTCGCCTCAGTCAAGACCCTGAGCCGGAGATGCGCCCCAATTCCGGCCCCAGATCAAAGTCTGGAGATGCGCCGCTGTCCTCAAGGAAGCCATCTCTCCTCGGAGCACAGCTGATCAGTCAGCCCTGGACGTCGCCACATGTAAATCACCCTCCAGATGTTAAAGGCGCGGCTCGCTGATAACCGAGCCCCACTCGCTAAGGCCGCGGCGACAAATACACAGAAAGTTTACCGGGTATAAGGTCTCCCAGTCACAAGGCAGTGCTTACGCCCATTCGGGCTTGGCTGGAAGGCACTCCCGCACTGTGAGCCTCCCAGCCCTAAGAGAGCCGCTCCTCCGTGCGAAGTAGCCATTGGAACCGGCCGACGCCTCAGGAAGCTACGCTAACTAAGCCATCTACAAAGAGGAGCCGACAAAATTGCATCTGCGCCTGCGCTCTTGAAGGTTTTTTTTTTTTTTTTTTTGCGAAGCAGGAACTACAATCCCCAGAACCCTTTGAGCCCATTCCTCACCAGCAGCACAGTCCTGCCTGTACCGCCTGTGCCGAAGTCACACGTGACCTCTTTGGTGGATCGGCACTAAGTGGTGGGCGGATATCCAGACTCCCCTGTTGCTACTCAACAGCTAATATTTAGTGCCTGTGTGGTAGAAGTCAGCCAATGCCCTTGGCTCACTCCATTCCATCTGGGAAGTCATTCTTCTATTCAAAAGACTTTGGAACCCAGGCTCAGAAGTTTAGTGACAGCCAAAACTAGAAATGGATTACAACCCAAGATTGATTTTTTACTGATTTTAAATTTTTGTCCAGGGTATTGGTTGACTAATTTTTGCCTATGGTAAATAAAATAAAAAATGAAAAGCTATACAAGGAGAAAAAATGAGCACCTTGCATCCTAGTCTCCGGACACCCAGTATTCTCCAAGCAACCAATGCACTCACCACTTTCTTACCACGACAATATGTGTGCGTCAGTTTATGTGCGTGTCAGTTTGTTTATATGCGTGTGCCTGAGTTCATTTATACAGGTACATATGATACATTTTAAATATTAGATTGTTATACACACTTAAATATTATTTTGAGTTTTCATATTAATGTATAGATATCTCATTCATTTAATTTGCTATATATTTCCATTAAATAGATATATGATAATTTAACCAATTTGTTACTGTAATTGACCGCCCCACTCCTCCAGTCTTTTGCTATTATATTGGTGCCATAAGTTATATTCTTGTGGATATGTCTAGTAACATCTGTTACACAAATTCCTCCACAAATTCTGGAGAAATGGGTACCTGCGTTTCAAGTTTTGATAAGTATTTTGCTACTGCCCTTCTTTAGTTTATATCAATTCAGCTGTCCACCACCAACATGTATAGATTAGATATGTAATTTCCTTATTTTGTCAATCTGATGAGTGGAAATTGCATTTATAAATTTCACATATCTTATTGAGATAGAAGAAAAAATTTCCAAAGGAGTAAACATTTCTTTGCAGTTTCCCTGATATATTTTTTCATACTCACCCATTTTTTGTTAGGTCATTGTTTATATTTTCTCTTAATGATTTGTATTGCCTTTTTTTGTTATTAAGAATGTTTTCTGTTTAAAAAACTTCCAGTTTGGGATTTACATTTCGACTTTCAATAGTTTCAAATACTTTTTCATGTAAAAGTAAACAAATATATTTTTTCCTACAATGGCTTCATGGTTTTGTGTTAATTTTACATTATTATTTTCTTCCATGTTTTTCTCTAAGATTTTACGGTTTAACCTTTAACCTTAACAATTCTTAATCTACATTTTTGATCCATTTGCATTTAATTTTGTTTTGAGCTTTGCATTAGGGATCCATTTTATAAAATAAATTTATTTATATATTTATTTTTTTATGGCTGCATTGGGTCTTCGTTGTTGCACTCGGGCTTTCTCTAGTTGCAGCGAGCGGGGGCTACTCTTCGCTCTGGTGCGTCAGCTTCTCATTGCGGGGGCTTCTCTTGAAGCAGAGCACGGGCTCTTGGCACGCGGGTCAGTAGTTGTGGCTGCTCGCGAGCTCCAGAACCGCAGTCTCAGTAGTTGTGGGGCAGGGGGTTAGTTGCTCCGGGGCATGTGGGATCTTCCCAGACCAGGGCTCGAACCCGCGTCTCCTGCATTGGCAGGCAGATTCTTAACCAGTGCACCACCAGGGAAGTCCCCCTATTTGTTTTAAAATCTGTCCCATATGCCTGCCCAATTACATAAGGCCGTTTAGTGAATGCTCTTTATTTTACAGACATGTCCATATTTTACACAGGTCCTATGAACTGATATTCTCTAATATAACCACAATAAATACTCAGGAAATTTAACAATCACACAATGTTATGATCTAATATATAGTACATATTCAAATTTCTCCCAATTATCCCAACAATTTTAAAGTTTCTTTTTTAATCCAAGATACAAAGATCATGAACTATTTTAGTTGTCATATCTCATTAGTCTTCTTTGATTTAGAATAGTTCACAGCTTTCTTGTACTTCAGAATCATATTTTTGGTGTCCAGACTGCTTTTCTCCCTCGAAATGTCCTTCTAAGAATTTTAAAAAATGTCCCCATGTCTAACTTCAGGCTAAATATTTTTGACCAGAATACTCCATGGGTGATAGTGTCCTTAATGTGACACATCAGGAGCCACATAATGTCACTTTCTCCTATTTCTTATGTTAATTTAGTTCCTTAAGCTTGTGGTCAACAGCCCTATCCACTGTAAAGCTATCTTTTCCCCTTTTTATTATTGCATAAACTATGGGGTGATGTTTTCAGACCTTTTGAATAAACATGGATACAAATTTGTCTTATCTTTGTCATATGGCTACTTAAAACATTTGTTGAAAAATCTATATCTAACATATTATATACATATGAAATAATACATCCAAATCCTCAAGATTTATAACAGTTCAAAAGGGTATTAAATGATCCAAAATGCCTCCATTATCACATACTACCTTTCCTATGTGTTTGGATCTATAGCTGGAGTTTTAGTTCTAGAGAAGAGCTACACTCTTAATTAGTGTAGAGTTGTAATATATCTTAATATCTGATAGTTCTAATTATCCAATTTTTATTATTATTTTTCTGAATTTTACTGGTTATTCTGGTCTCTTTATTTTTCTATATAGACTTTAGAATTAGCTCATATGTTTAAGAAGAATTCTTGAATGTTTTTAATTGAGTGCATCACATTTATAACCTAAGGATTTGTGAGATCTTAATGATGTTAGTACTGCAATCACAGAACATGTTACACCCTTTCATTTTTTCATCTTCTGGTTGCTCTGGAAATTTTTAATTAATTTATTTTTCAGTAATGATCATAGGGCTTCCCTGGTGGCACAGTGGTTAAGAATCCGCCTGCCAACGCAAGGGACACGGGTTCAATCCCTGGCCCAGGAAGATCCCACATGCCGCGGAGCAACTAAGCCTGTACACCACAACTACTGAGCCTGCGTGCCTAGAGTCTGTGCTCCACAAGAGAATCCAAGAGAATGACAATGAGAAGCCCATGCACCGCAATGAAGACTAGCCCCTTTATACTCCGTTAAAGATGTTAAAAACAACCAAAAAGAGTAGCCCCTGCTCACGGCAACTAGAGAAAGCCCGCGCGCAGCAACGAAAACCCAATGCAGCCAAAAATAAAACACAAAAAATATAATGATCATGGATTTTTTGTTGAATTTTATTTCATGATAGCTCAAATTTTTCTTGTGACTACTGAAAAAGCTTTTTGTTTTTCTATTGGATCTTCTGTTTCTTAAGAATATCTGTACATGAGTTAATTGATTTCTATATGTTTTTTAAAACAAATTTATTTATTTATTTATTTTTGGCTGCCTTGGGTCTTTGCTGCTGCGCGTGGGCTTTTCTCTAATTGTGGTGAGCGGGAGCTACTCTTTGTTGCAGTGCACGGGCTTCTCATTGCGGTGGCTTCTCTTGTTGTGGAGCACAGGCTCTAGGCACGCGGGCTTCAATAGTTGTGGCACGTGGGCTCAGTAGCTGTGGCTCCCAGGCTCTACAGTGCAGGCTCTGTAGTTGTGGTGCACGGGCTTAGTTACTCCGCGGCATGTGGGATCTTCCCGGAGCAGGGTTCCAGCCCGTGTTGCCTGCATTGGCAGGCGGATTCTTAACAATTGCGCGACCAGGGAAGCCCCAATTTCTGTATGTTAACTCTCTACCGAGGCAACTTCAGACTGGTCTCGTAATTTAAAAGGATAATAAAATATAACTTTTTTCTTTTAAGTGAAGCCACAAAGTAATGGTCTCAACTCTCCCTGATTTCCAAAATAAGTCTGTGAGTATCGGTGCAGGATATGTAACAGAGTCAAAGAAAA